CCCTCATCACTGACCCTCTGATAGTGTGGTGCTCTCTCAGTGCTGATCCTCTGACAGTGCGGCGCTCCCTCAGCACTGATCCTCTGACAGTGCAGCGTCCCCTCAGCGCTGACCCTCTGATATTGCAGTGCTCCCTCAGTGCTAATCCTCTGACAGTGCAGCACCCCTTCAGTGCTGATCCTCTGACAGTGCGGCACTTCCTCAGCACTGACGTTCTGATATTATGGTGCTCCCTCACTGCTGATTCTCTGACAGTGCAGCACCCTTTCAGCACTGATCCTCTGATAGTGTAGTGCAGCACCCCCTCAGCGCTGATCCTCCGACAGTGCAGTGCTCCCTCATCACTGACCCTCTGATAGTGTGGTGCTCCCTCAGTGCTGATCCTGTGACAGTGCAGCATCCCCTCAGCACTGATCCTCAGACAGTGCGGCATTTTTTAGCACTAATCCTCCGACAGTGCAGCGCTCCCTCATCACTGACCCTCTGATAGTGTGGCGCTCCTTCAGCGCTGACCCTCCAACAGTGCAGCGCTCCCTCATCACTGACCCTCCCTCTGATAGTGCGGTGCTCCCTCAGCGCTGATGCTCTGACAGTGTGGTGCTCCCTCAGTGCTGACCCTCTGAAAATACAGTGCACCCTCAGCACTGGCCCTCCGACAGTCTGACAATCCCTCAGCACTGACCCTCTGATGGTGCAGCGCTCCCTCAGCACTGATCTTTCAATAATGCCCTCTCCCTCAGTACTGACTCCCCTGACAAAGCAGCACTTCCTCAGCATGCTTCCTCCACCACTGTGGTGCTTTCTTATCACTGACCCTTTGACAGTGCCTGCGCCCTCAGCACTGACTCTCTGACCGTGGCCGCTCCCTCAGCGCTGACCCTCCAACAGCGCCCGCTCCCTCAGCACTGACCCTCCAACAGCGCCCGCTTCCTCAGCACTGACCCTCCAACAGTGGCCGCTTCCTCAGCGCTGACCCTGCAACAATGCTGTGCCTAGCATTTGTGTTGTGAGTTAGTGTAGTGACAGGATTCACATAGAGGCTGGACCTTGTTAGTCTGATGGATTCCCTTCCATTAACACCTACCAACTGTGAAATCTTGACATCATCAAGATCGATCATTCCAGGGCGAAGGGTAAGAGATCCTGAAAACTAAGCAAGCGAACTATCGCTTAAATGGCATTTTTACTTCAGATTCCAGAGGCAGGAGCTGGGCTACAGTGTGAAGGGACTATCCTTTGAAAAGTTAGCAGTTGATTGGGCGGACTGAGGTCTTTAAGGGGCAAGGTGGTGTTACAGAGTGAGGACACTGACCTTGAGTTATTAAACTGGAAAGGGTATAAGAAAGATTTGCAAGGACATTTCCCAAAACTGGAAGATGAGAGGTTGGGACGTTTTTCCCCTGGAGGCTGAACTTATACAGATTTATAAAATCATGAGGGAAATTGATAGGGTTAAAAGTCAACGTCTTTTTCCCCAGGGTTGGGGGAATCCAAACTAGAGGGCATAGGTTTAATACGAGAGGGGCAACATTTAAAAGGGACCTGAGGGGCAACGTTTATGCACAGAGTGTGGTCTGTGTATGGAATGAGCTGCCAGAGGAACTGGAGGCTGGTACAATTACATTTAAAAGGCATTTGGACAGGGACATGGATAGGAAAGGTTTTTAGAGGGTAATGGGCCAAATGCAGGCAAATGGGACTCGTTCAGTTTAGGAAACCTGGTCGGCATGGACGAGTTGGGCCGAAGGGCCTGTTTCTGTGCTTTATGTTTCTATGACTGACTAATTAAGGGGCAGTGTTACAAAGATTGTGCACTCTTAAAGGGTCGGGATGATGATGGCACTGTCTCTTTAAGGGGTAGGGAAGTGTGAGGGCAGTGTCTCTTTAAGGGGTGCTAACAGCATTCCAAAGTGATGGTCCTTTCGCTTTAAGGGGCATGAACGTGTGAGGGCAGTGTCCCTTTAAGGTGGGTACAGTATTCTAAAGTGATGGTACTGTCTCTTTAAGGGGCAGGGAAGTGTGAGGGCAG